TTTAATAATTTATTTTTAATAACTGATTTATTTTATCTTTGCCATGATGAGAGTAAATAATATTTGACTAGATATTTTTCAAGACACTTCAATACAGCTTAAAGTGACATTTAAAGGCTTAACTAGGTTAATTAGCTTAACTAGGCAGGATAGGGTAATTAGGCAAGTTAATTTTTAACAATGGTTTGTTCTGTAGATGATTTAAAAAATAGCTTAAAAGTGCTAATAACTTAGACCTTAAAATGTTGTTTTATATATATATTTTTATATTATATATATATATATATATATATATATATATATATATATATATATATATATATATATATATATATATATATATATATATATATATATATATATATATATATATATATATATATATATATATATATACATACATAATAATATAAAATATATTTATATTATATATATATATATATATATATCTATATTATATATATTTATATTATTATATTAATATAACATTTAATAAGATTATATATATAAATAATAATAATACAAACAAATATAAATAAATATAAAATTTTTATTTTAGAAATTTAGGAAAATAAAATAGTTAACTGATCATTTAGAATAATCTGTACAGTATTATGTATTTAATAAAAATGACATTTATATTATTATTACAGGTAATGCAATATAAAAGATTGCTTAGAGAAGGATGTTTATAAAGAAGTACAGCAGTACAGTGCATTAATAAAGCTCATACCATTTATTTTAGAAATACAGAAATACAGTTGAAAGCTAATTTATTAGCCCTGTTATTTAATATAAAGTTTAATTCTTTTTTAAATATTGTTTTAACTTTTCAAAATCATTAAAAATCATTTAAATATGAAATGATGTTTAATACAGCAAGGACATTTTACAGTATTTCCTATTATATTTTTTTACTTATATTCCTATTATATTTTTTTATTTATATATTCTTATTTATTTAGTTTGGTGGGAATAAAAAAAGCTGATTTCATTTATTTTTTGACACTGTTTTACAATGACGTGCCTACAATTAACCTTAATTAACCTAGTTAAGCCTTTAAATTGCACTTTAAGCTCAATACTAGTATCTTACAAAATATCTAGTTAAATATTATTTACTGTCATCATGGCAAAGACACAAGAAATCAGTTATTAAAAATCAAAAATTAAAACTATTATGTTTAAAAATATGTCCCATTAATATTCTCTCGATTAAAGAAGAATTGAATATATGAAAAAGAATGCAAATAACACGGGTCGTCTAATAATTTAGCATATTACACATAAAGAGTTAGATTAGGTGCCACAAATGGTTTAATTGCAAGCACAAATCCCATGCTGTGCTGTGTTTCAAGTGTTTTAGAGCTTTAATACACAGACAGTAGATGATTTGTTGTTTTTTGGGTGGTCTCTGGCTTTGAATAAGGAGTGCTTGTGAAGAATCTTCAGTCCCAATCAAACACACACAGACCCTTGAGACCCTGCTTGAACTTTGACCTTTGTTGACAGGATGGCAAGAGTGTGAGGTGTTGTTTTAGCAACTGAAGTCAACATGTAGTGTTCACGCGTCAAAGGCCTGTGTGTGCGTGAAGCTTGTGTTAAAGTCTGACTACTAGGCCTTGTTCAGTCAGGCACCCTTTATATGTTAAATGCCTGCTGTTTGTGTGTGTGTGTGTGTGTGTGTGTGTGTGTGTGTGTGTGTGTGTGTGTGTGTGTGTGTGTGTGTGTATTTGCTTGTTAGAACTAAGAGACCTTTCAGTAAAGTCAGCCTACGTTATTTGCACTTTCTCCTCATCCTTTGCTTTCTCCTAATATACACCTCTGAATAAATAACACATCGTGCGCAACTTAAAACGCAACACATCTCACCCTCATGGAGCACACTTAGGCATCCTACAGTTATGTGATGCATTGTGTGCATGCTTTACTAAAAAGATAGGTCTTTAATCTAGTTTTGAACTGAGAGAGTGCGTGTCTGAGCCTCGGACATTATCAGTAAGGCTATTCCAGAGTTTAGGAGCCATATATGAGAAAGCTCGACCTCCTTTAGTGGACTTTTCTATTCTTAAAACATTTTAAAGTGTAAAATAAAGGGGGAAAAACATTGAATTCCATAAACAAGTTGATAGATTGTGTGAAATGTGAATAATAAATTGTGGAGGTAAATCAAGTTTAATTTATTGCAACTTTTCTTTAGTTAATATGCAATTTTAACAATGCAGATTTAAATTAATAAAGAGATATATCGTCTTATTGGTCGTTTTTAAAAAATCTGCACTGTTAATATTGTATTAAATAAATATAAATATCCATGGGTGGCGCAGTGGGTAAGTGCTCAAAGCAAGAAGGGCGCTGGTTCAAACCTCGGCTGGGTCAGTTGGCATTTTTTTTGTGGAGTTCTCTCCATGTTGGCGTGGGTTTTCCTCCATGTGCTCTAGTTTCCCCCACAAGTCCAAAGACATGCGCTACAGGTGAATTGAATAAGCTAAAATTGACCGTAGAGTATGAGTATGAATGTGAGCATGTATGGGTGTTTCCCAGGGATGGGTTGCAGCTGGAAGGGCATCCGCTGCGTAAAACATATGCTGGAAAAGTTGGCGGTTCATTCCGCTGTGGCGACCTCTGATTAATAAAAGAGCTAAGCCAAAAAGAAAATGAATTATTCAAATGAATGAATGAATATCCATAACAAATGTATGCTGTGTATTATCCACGGCTACATTATCTATTATTAATCTCATAACTAGTGTTTTCTGGTTAAATAAAATATAGCAGATACATTATATGTACAGGTAAATCGCATTTCAATGCATGTCCGGGTGAAAATCTGAGA